TGAATTCTTCGCAGAAGTTGTTATTTTTTCCCTTTTCAGTTACTAGACATCTATGTAAGTTGTTAGAACTGCCCATATTCTTTGTGGTTCCTATATTTTGGTGAGGATTTTTTGTAGTGATGTCTGCTTTAAATGGAAGCATGACCTCATTATTTGTCATATTACTACCTTTTGAAATTACCAGTTGGTAGGGCTTCAAGATCTATATACGCTAATATACCTCTATATATAAAAATACAGTATTTTACTTATATCATGTTTAAGGGGTTATAGGGACTTGGGGAGAGAAAATCAACTGGTGAAAGATGAAGCAAGAAAAAGGGCAAAGAACTGCAATTCTAATTATCTAAACACATTAAATTAAATGCATATCTGATTAAATGAGTCCACAGTTTGTTTTTACCTAAATTCAGACTTGATTAATGCCCTTGGAGCTTTTTTTTTCCCCCTTGGAGCTTTTTGAATGCCCCTTTTTTTTTTTTTCCCTTGGAGCTTTTTGAATGCCTAGTAGTTCAAGTCCACCAATGCATGGTTAGTTTACTGACAGTGTGTTGGAAGGAAAAAATAATAATTTCCTGAAAATAATATAAAGCAGATTATTCAGAATTATGATAGTGCATTTTCAGAAGAAAAACTTTTTTTTTTTTAATTGGCAGTGACTTCTCGTGAAAGGAGTAAATGTTTTGACAGGAGCATTGTAATCTGAAACATTTTTATTTGCAGGTTACATGTCTTGCATGTGACAACAAATCAAATACCATAGAACCTTTCTGGGATTTGTCACTGGAGTTTCCCAAAAGATACCAATGCAATGGAAAAGATATGGCTTCCCAGTCATGCCTGGTTACTGAAATGTTGTCCAAATTCACAGAAACAGAAGCTTTAGAAGGAAAAATCTACATATGTGACCATTGTAACTGTAAGTAGTGACTATATTCTCCTTGCTTTTCTATGAATGAATGAAAGGAAGCTGGAAAAAATTCCTTAAGTAGCAGTTATGGAAATAAGCTTTCTTTGTTAGTTCATCAAAAGAAACTAGGCTGGATATTTCTACTTTATAATTGGCATTCATGAACCTTTGTGTATGTTTGCAATAATGATGATATTAAAAACATTTTTTTGATCCTGTGTCAATTGTGGACAGAAAGGATTTATAAAATAAAAAAATTAAATTTCATATGTGAGGCAGAATAAAGTAGCAAAAGGAGAATAGTAAAAGGAAAGCATGTTATTTAGTACTGAAAGAAATGTTTGCTTTAAGTCTTTTTGCTACATATAAAAACACTGATATAGATAATACATGTGTATATGTGTGGGTGTACACATACCTATGTAATAGAAAATAATATATAGCTGAACTGCTGCTATGGAGATTGGCTCCAGAAAAAGGAAGATTTACTTTGAAAACGTCTATATCTCTTTTATATAGTCATTGTTCTAATTGCTATGGCTAGAGATTAGGCGCTTTTAAATGCTCACATACCTAATGGAGGAAACAGGTAAACAATTAAGATCTGCTACAGTAAGCTCTCTAAAAGAGGTGGGCACAGGGAGATGAAATAGCCATTTCAGTTAAAGGGAAGCATTATCCTCCAGGGGAATAGTGTATAAAAGCATATTAAGTCTATCTTTTATTATTATTGTTGTTATTATTATTTATTATTAATGATTTTAGAGAGAGGGAGGAGAGAAACATTTATCGATTGTTTCCCGCACGCACCTTAACACACAAACTGGGTAGGTGTCCTGTTGGGGAATTGAACCCACAACCTTTTGGTTTATAGGCAATGCTCCAACCAACTGAGGCACACTGGCCAGGGTTCTGTTGTGTCTTTATGTGTGGTGTCTTTATCTCCTCTATCATTGTGTACATGGCATGTTAGTGTTTATACTATAAATTTTCAAGAATTTTCCCTAATTGTCAGGTCTGAAAAAAAAATGATTCTAGGGCTCTAGATACTAAACTTCTAAGGTAATATAAAGGAAACATTGGATGTTCTAGCACTGAAGGAATGTCACATCAATTGGTGATTTTATAAAATGACTTATACTAGCATTGCTTTCTGAGTGCTATCTAATATGAACTGTTATAGGGAACCGAAGATTTATATAGGTAGGAAAAAAATCTTGATCAAGTGTGTATGGTGGAGTTTTTTCCTTTTTTTTTTTCTTGGACATAAATGTGAGTGGTCCTAGAGGTTTTCATCACCAAATCTGGGAGTAGAATGCTATTATGAATGAATGGAAAATATGGTTTTATAATACATTTTAAAATATTATAAGCCCTCTATCATTCTGTTGACTTATTTACAATATTAAGTCATTTACCTAATTGTTTACATGTCTATCCACCTTGATCAGCTCATAAGTTTTTTGTTTTTTATTATGTTTCTTAAAGGCAAGACACATCTTTATCTCTAGCACAGTATAGTATCTGTAACACAGATGTTTAAATGATAACGCATGTGTGAATTTTTTTAAAACTTTACTCAGATTTTCCTTGTGTCCTTAAATTAAATTTGATTTTCATTTCTTTGCTATCACAGCAAAGCGTAGAAGGTTTTCCTCAAAAACAGTTGTACTCACAGAAGCCCAAAAACAGCTTATGATATGCCACCTACCTCAGATTCTCAGACTACATCTCAAACGATTCAGGTTAGTAGTAGTAGTATCAGTTGCCTACCAACTATATACTTCTAACTTATCATTACTTATTGTGCTTCAGAACTTAATATATGATGAATTAAATTTTAATACTGTATACTTGGGTAGTAGATAACTTAGGTGTATTTATGACTTTTAAGGAAAAAAAAATTCTGTCATTGTCTCTAGCCTTGACCAGTGGATGCCATATTCAATATCTAACTTGATTAGCTTCCTTTATAGAATGCATTGCTGATTAGCAGACTCCTCACACTTTGGTTGGCTAAGTAATATTATTGTAAGTTTCTGCTTGTACTGTTTAATATTCAGCATATTTTAGGTGTAATATTTTTAAATTTGTAACTTAGAGTATTTGGCTTAATTGCTTCATCCTTGGAAAATATTTGAACAAAGATACATCAGTTCCATTCAAAGCAGTTAAAAACAACTCTAGTCTTCAGAAATATGTTTAGTTAGGTGAATAAGTTGGCAAATCTGTTGGTTAATCAAAGCATATACTTCCATACCTTGCAATAACCATGTTAACCTGAGAGCTATTGTTCTCTTAAGGAATGAGAAGTTACTTTATGTGCTATGGTTTGAAAACTATTGAGACCATGGTTTAATTTTTTAACAGTTAAAGTAATATGTGTTTTTTTTAAAAAAATTTCAGACATTACAGAAGGCAAAATAGAAGCCCAAAATAAAATTAACTTTCTTTTCAGTTCTACTTCTCACTGTTAAGTTGACTCAGTTATTTCAGTCAGAAAACATCATATGAGTGCTTTTTAATTCAAGATGTTCTATATTCTTTGAAGAATATAAAGTAGAATTCTTTTCACAATAAGATTACAGTAAGGCATGCACAGAAATAATGGTGAAGTAGAAATAGTAAATATCACAAACTATAAACAAACTGATTAATCTGAGACTTGCAGGGGGACATTAGTTGATGTTCAAATGTTCCCAAAGCCTCTCTAATAACATAGGGGATTTGTCATTCAAGTCTCAGTTCATGTCACCTCTTTAGAGAGGACTTCCCTGACCTCCTATTTAAAAGCACCACCACTCAAACCATCAGTATCATATCACCCTATTTGGCTTAATGTCAGAAACCACTGTTTGCAATTAACAGTTTACTTATTTCTCTTCCCCTACCAGTGGGACAAGCAATGCCCCAAAATATTAAGTGAATGAATGGGGTATAGACAGGAGGAGTAACATGAACAAAGGTGTGGAGGAAGGAACAGGGAAGGGTCTACAACAAAAGGTTTAGTGAAACGTCAGGTGAGACTTGCCATTGTGTATACAATCAAGGAGAATGAAAACAGAAAGATTATTCATACTGCATTTCGGGTTCAGGTAATAAGGGCCAGACAGCACTGAAAAGTGAGAACATACATGAGCTTCAGTAAAGAGAATCGAAAGGATTTAAAATTTTGTTGCTTAAACTGATAACTTAATTGGCTAATATAAACTGTTGTAGAGCCTCCAGTTCTTCATAACTGCTCTTTAATCTGGCATTTGAAGCTCTCCTTAATACAAACCTGTTTGACTCTTATTTCCTTCCATCTTCTGCCCAAAACGTATTTGATCCTTCATGCCCTGATTTATGATTCAGAGACCATGTTGATACTGCCTTTACCACCACATTTATCTTTCTCCTTTATTAAAAAAGCACTATTGTATTTTCCAGTGTATAAAGTATATAGGGTAAATAAAAGACAAAAAGAGAGAATGGGGTTGGGGAGAAGCACACAGGGGCTCTTTGAAGAAGCATAAGAAAAGGAATATTTCTAATAGCTTACAAGTTCCCTGCGTGTGCCTCTCAGTCCTGTTCTCTTTCCC